ACTAATCTTGTGGTTCAAACCGACTATGTAGTCCAGTGCTTGTCCTTCAGTGCCATACCAGGACTCCATAGTGCTGACAAAATCGGTAATCCATTTCCAGAAAACTAAAACAAGACCTATATCTTACACCATACACAAAATGAAGTCAATGTGGATTAGACCTAAATGTAACGCCTACTTCTATACGTATAATGAAAAAGTAAGGGCAAGCTTAAGAACTCTGACACATGGCACAAATACACTATCAAACAGAACTGAAAACACTCAGAAGGCAAACTAGATGACTGGGACCTCCTAAAAATTACACACTATGTGCATCAAAGGATTTTACCAAAAGAGTACAAAGAGAACCCTCAGACTGGGAAAAAATGTTTGGCAGTGATAATGTCAGACAAAGGACTTTTGTTGTTGTTAAGCGCTGTTGAGTTGGTTCTGACTCATAGCAATCCTGTATAGGAGTTTGAACTGCCAATCTTGTGGTTCAAACCAGCCTTTCGGTCCAGTGCTTTATTCCGAAACACCACACCAAGACAAAGGACTACTCTCCAAAATTTATGGAACACTTCAAAACATCAACAAGAAGACAAATAATCCAGTTTTTAAAATGGGTAAAAGACACGAACACACACTTCACTAAAGACATTCAGGCAGCCAACAAACTTATGAGGAAATGCTCTTGGTCTGAAGCCATTGTTTTGGTGGTTAAGTGCCAAGGAGCGACTAGTGCATTTGAACTGCTAGTCTTATGGCTCAGACCAACCTTGCATTATCCAGCAGCACCACACCAGGACACAAACCAATACCACAATGAGTAATTATGGAGGTACTAATTATGGGTTGATTCGTTGGTGGGTTTAGTGTTGATGTATATTTTGGTTCTGTGGGTAATGTGTAGCACTGAGGATATTCGTTTAGTGTGTGAGGATTATGTAACTCAAAGAAACCGAAAACAACAAATGCTGGTGGGGGGTAGGAGTGTAAAATGGTATAACCCCTGTGGAAAATGGTAAGGTGCTTTTTCAAAGAGTGGGAAATAGAAATACTGAGTGACCCAGCATTTCCTCTACTTGTGTTATAAAGAAGTAAAAGATGTAATAGAACTAGCTATACGCACACCCATGTTCATTGTGGAGTTCTGGTGTGGTGCTGTGGGATAAAGTACTGGACCACAGAGTCAGTTTGAACCATGAGGTCGGAGTTGAAACTCATCAGTTGCTCCTTGGAAACCCTACACAGAGTTGCTTTGAGTCGGAATTGACAAGACAGCACTTAACTACAACATATTCATTGCAACACTATTAACAATAGCAAAAAGATAGAGATAACCTAAATGCCCATTGATGAAAGAATGGTAGAACAAACTGTAGTACATATACACAGTGGAATATTGCACAATGCTAAAGAATAAGGATGCATTTGCAAAACATTAATGAACACGGAGGACGTTATGCTGAGTGAAATTAGTTAATCACAAAAGGACAAATATTGCATGAGATCACTGTTGTAAAAAATAAAAAGATTTTTTTGCAAAATGATACATTCTGTGATGGCTACAGGGTGGTTAGAGGGTGAGGTCAGAAAAAATAAAGTGAAAAGAGGTAAGCACTGTTAACTGGTGGTACATGGAGGGGATTGCAATCATTGTATTGACATGAAGTGTATTTGTTTATGGGACTGATGATCTGTAAACCTTCACTCAATTCACAATAAAAGTTGAAAAAAAAAAAAAGAATAAACAAAAACAGCAAAGGAAAAAACCCATCAGTGTAGTTGTTGGACCTGAAAAGGAGAAATCTTTGAGGGCTCCTGCTAGCCAAGGAATTCACAAGGAGGTACAGGAGGGATGTGACAGAGGAGTTCCTGGCCCTAGATGGAGTTTCCTATAGGCCTAGGTGTTACTTACCTGTGTTCAAAACACTTAATCTGGAAGCAGTTCATGGACATTTTTTTTTTTAATGTTTTATTGTGAATTATGCGATAGTTTACATGGGGGAGAGCATTAGTTTTACATTCATCCTATAGTATATAATTTCATTGCTATGGTTACAGTCCCCTCCATGCATCATCAACCAACACTACAAGCCTGTCCCCTGCTTGTCAGCCCACAGCCCCTCTCCCTCTCTGTGTAAAGTCCCCAACAGCTCCATCTGTCCACATCATCGTCTCTGCCTCCATCTCAGGCATCACTGCTTCTCTGGGTAGGGTCCCACTCTCCTCTCTTCTCCCTTGATGATCCCAGGTACCTCCACTCCTAGACTGAAAATTTAGTCACTCTCCTCCTCGCTACAAAACGTCTACCTTTACATTTCCAACCCTCACAAGCAGTCGTGATAACAGTTATTCACTATTGTATCACAAGAGACCCATCAGCATTTCATTTCATCAGCCCTGCCTAGTCAGATTGGATACTACTCACTGGAGATTCTACCTTCCTTCACGCCCTCTGAATCTAGGTTCCCTCTTGAAAGCTTGTAAGCCAGTCACTTCTTGCCTTTGTAGCCCCCCATTTTGGGTAGCCAGTGTCCAAGTTGTCCATCCCTGTGTACTTTGTGAATGGAGGGGGTGGGAATGATCCTTGCTGTAAGGATTTGTTCCCTCTTTTGAGCTATTGCATCCATAGGTGTAGGTCAAGTTCATCAAATTGTATCAGATTACTCTTTTTTTTTCCTTTTCTTTCTTTTTCTGGTTGGTTGGAGACTCAGTGTCTGTTAGGACCACAGGGCAGCTGGGGGCAGGTTGGCTGGTTAAATGCTGGTCTGGTATCTGACCAAGAGCCGAGGCCACCTGAATCCAGGCACCAAAGCAGTGCAGCTGGCCCCAGCTCCACACTGGCGTGACTTACACCACGTGTTTCCACCTCCTGGAGAGTAGGGTCTGTGCTGAAGGTAGATAAGGGTAGAAGCTGGCCTCACCTCTTCTCACCAGGAGAGTATATGAAAAAAGAAGGAATCACACTTTTCCCATTACCTGTGTGAATCTGCTCTGCCAGGCCACCTTTTGTCACCAAAGCTGCTCAAAGAAGTTCAAGATGGTCGCGCATCATCTGGCCAGTTGTTCACCAGTAGTCTCCCTCTCTCATCATCCCTGCTCAACTTCTCCTCCCAGCATGCACTCAGTCCACTTCTCTAACCTTTCCTCTGAGGTTCAGGGTTCCAGGATTTTCATCTGTGACTGTTTCACTAGATCTCTCATATCTTTGTTGTAGAAGGTCTATTATTGTAGTATGTCTGCCTAGTTCACCATTTTAATACTCATATAGAATGAAATTTAGATGAAATATTCTTAGAGTACTGAAACATCTCCATAAATATTAATTAAAGTGTGAAAAGCCCTGGCCTAGTGTGTAGTTTAAGCTTCAGGGCAGGCCATGGAGGCTCCTGGAACCCTGGCTTTTGGCTGAAGCTCCATTTCACCTTCTGCCTGGAATGCCTTCTCTAACGATCTGCCAGCTTCACTCCTACAAGATTTCTGAAGTCTCCTTTGGAGGCCTTACCTTCTGCCCACAGGCAGAGTACATTCCTGACTTCTCTTGGTAGTTCAGAACCTTGCTCATGCTGCTGTCCTTACAAAAATTGCTCTGTGCTGCAATTCCTTTTCTTTGCTAGCCTGCCCGGTACTCAGGATGAGGACTCACTCATGAGTCATGTGCACAGACTTGCCCTGGTCCAGTTCCTGCTGCTGTGTGGACAAGGAGGAAGGCAGGGCTCACACATTGTGCTCAGGTACAGGGAACACTGTGGGTATGCAGCCTCTCCCAAGACGCTGTAGAGAAGGCGCTGCTTTTCCACTGAAGGTTAAAACAAGACTCATTTAATCTATATCTTTTTTGTCTCAAAGGAAAATATTCAGCTTTGATGGAACAACATAAGAAACAGCCGAAAGCAGAAAAGTCTATTCTAAAAGTTCGCCATTTCTACCACATTGAGTACTACCTTCTGCCTGATGACGAAGTGCCTCAAAAAGTGGATGTTGTGGTGTTTCCATCCGTGACCAAAGTGTTCTTTGAGTCCAGCGTAAAGGTGTGTGTGTGTG